GAAGCAAAAAGACGGAGAGTCAGTCGACGATTTTGTCAAGCGCTTCCGTAACATGGCAATGAATTGCAGAGATCCTATCACGGAGGAGTTCATCCTGCAAACATGCCACAATAACCTCTCCATCGATGTCCTGGAAGCTCTGGGGGTCGTGCCATCCACAACTTGGAAGGAGTTAAAATCTCGGGGTGAACAAGCTGAACACTTTCTTAAAAGAAAGAAAGCTGAGAGAAGCCAACCGACGACATCTGCAATCACTGGGAACGCGACTCCCGATCCGAGGTTTCAAAAGGAGTATTCTTTCGAAGATGATGAAGCTCCAGCCATATTGGAATACCTCCTCGCTAATGATAAAATCGAGCTACCACCTATTAAAGATCTGGATGGAGCTAAGAGGATTACGGATCCAAACTATTGTGCGTACCACAGAAGGGTTCTTCATCCCACCGAGATTTGCTTTGGACTCAAAAACAGGATCCAAGCCCTAATTGACTCCGGCGTCATAACGACGAAAGAAGTCGAGTAAAGACGACCATACAACTCCAGTGGGTGCACGAGTATAAACTGTTTCCCCACACTCCAAAGAGTATACGAGTATAAACTGCTTCTCGGTCATCCAAGTATATGAGTATAATCTGCTTCTCGATTATCCAACTGAGTACAATGTTAAACCCGGTTTCGCAAAGGAAGCTGGGGAGGGATGATTTATATAACGGGAAGTTCCTGGAGAATCTTATATTCTTAAGGATAACCCGAACATGCGACTGAGGATAACGCACTCCTCGTTACACCCAGTTTTGCAAAGAAAGTTGGGGGTGGATAATTCATGTAACGGGAAGTTCCCAGAAGAATGTTAAATGTAATATTCTTAGGGATAACCCCGATCATTATGAACAAAGTGATAAACACTAAACTCCTACTATGACTTCCGAATACTCTTTTGCTGAGATGAGATTCGATCACCTCTTTAGATCAATCTTCCCTCACAAAATTCCCATTTTGGTCAAACCTTTAAACAGTTAGGACCAAAGCCAAAATCCCCTCTCGATTCGTTCCATGAACGAGAGGTCCACAAATTGAACGATCAAACCTTTAAACAGTTAGGATCGTCTCAAAGTTTCCACTTGGTCAAACCTTTAAACAGTTAGGACCACAACCAAAATCCCCTCTCGATTCGTTTCATGAACGAGAGGTCCACAAATTGAACGATCAAACCTTTAAACAGTTAGGATCGTCTCAAATTCCCATCTTGGTCAAACCTTTAAACAGTTAGGACCAAAGATAAAATCCCCTCTCGATTCGTTCCATGAACGAGAGGTCCATAAATTGAACGATCAAACCTTTAAATAGTTAGGATCGTCTCAAAATTCCTATTTTGGTCAAACCTTTAAACAGTTAGGACCAAAGCTAAAATCCCCTCTCGATTCGTTCCATGAACGAGAGGTCAACAAATTGAACGATCAAACCTTTAAACAGTTAGGATCGTCTCAAAGTTTCATCTTGGTCAAACCTTTAAACAGTTAGGACCAAAGCCAAAATCCCCTCTCGATTCGTTCCATGAACGAGAGGTCCACAAATTGAACGATCAAACCTTTAAACAGTTAGGATCGTCTAAAATTCCCATCTTGGTCAAACCTTTAAACAGTTAGGACCAAAGTCAAAATCCCCTCTCGATTTGTTCCATGAACGGGAGGTCCACAAATTGAACGATCAAACATTTAAACAGTTAAGATCGTCTCAAATTCCCATCTTGGTCAAACCTTTAAACAGTTAGGACCAAAGCCAAAATCCCCTATTGATTCCTTCCATGAACAAGAGGTCCACAAATTGAACGATCAAACCTTTAAACAGTTAGGATCGTCTCAAATTCCCATCTTGGTCAAACCTTTAAACAGTTAGGACCAAAGCCAAAATCCCCTCTTGATTCCTTCCATGAACAAGAGGTCCACATTCGATTTGCGCAATCAAACCTATAAAAGTTAGGATTGCTTCAAATTTCAATTGATCAAACCTTATTCAGATTCTCTGAATAGAAATCCCACTTCAAATTTCCTTTGTACCAGGAGATAGAATATAAAATTCTTCCTCTCCGATTCTGGGTTTATCTCTACCAACAAACAAGAGACCAGGAGATAGAATATAAAATTCTTCCTCTCCAATTCTGGGTTTATCTCTACCAACAAACAAGAGACCAGGAGATAGAATATAAAATTCTTCCTCTCCGATTCTGGGTTTATCTCTACCAACAAACAAGAGACCAGGAGATAGAATACAAAATTCTTCATCTCTGATTTTTGGGTTTATCTCTACCAACGAAAAAAAAGACCAGGAGATATAATATAAAATTCTTCCTCTCCGATTCTGGGTTTATCTCTACCAACAAACAAGAGACTAGGAGATAGGATATAAAATTCTTCCTCTCCGATTCCGGGTTTATCTCTACCAACAAACAAGAGACCAGGAGATAGAATATAAAATTCTTCCTCTCCGATTCTGGGTTCATCTCTACCAACAAAAAAGAGACCAGGAGATAGAATATAAAATTCTTCCTCTCCATCATCGGGTTCATCTCTACCAACAAAAAAGAGACCAGGAGATAGAATATAAAATTCTTCCTCTCCATCATCGGGTTCATCTCTACCAACAAACAAGAGACCAGGAGATAGAATATAAAATTCTTCCTCTCCATCATCGGGTTCATCTCTACCAACAAACAAGAGACCAGGAGATAGAATATAAAATTCTTCCTCTCCATCATCGGGTTCATCTCTACCAACAAACAAGAGACCAGGAGATAGAATATAAAATTCTTCCTCTCCATCATCGGGTTCATCTCTACCAACAAACAAGAGACCAGGAGATAGAATATAAAATTCTTCCTCTCCATCATCGGGTTCATCTCTACCAACAAACAAGAGACCAGGAGATAGAATATAAAATTCTTCCTCTCCATCATCGGGTTCATCTCTACCAACAAACAAGAGACCAGGAGATAGAATATAAAATTCTTCCTCTCCATCATCGGGTTCATCTCTACCAACAAACAAGAGACCAGGAGATAGAATATAAAATTCTTCCTCTCCATCATCGGGTTCATCTCTACCAACAAACAAGAGACCAGGAGATAGAATATAAAATTCTTCCTCTCCATCATCGGGTTCATCTCTACCAACAAACAAGAGACCAGGAGATAGAATATAAAATTCTTCCTCTCCATCATCGGGTTCATCTCTACCAACAAACAAGAGACCAGGAGATAGAATATAAAATTCTTCCTCTCCATCATCGGGTTCATCTCTACCAACAAACAAGAGACCAGAATACTCCAATAGGTATACGAGTCTAAACTATTTCCCTAATCTCAACAGGAAGTTTCTGGAGAATATTACTCAAAATATTCTTAAGAATAACCTGATAATCTCCCAACGGGTATATGAGGTTAAACTATTTCCCGAACACTCCAATATAGTATATGAGTATAAACTATTTCTCAAATTCTTCGACAGCAGTTTTAATTTGAGACTTCGACAACGGCCACGCGATAAACGCAGCACCGGAGGAATTTTAGCTATTCTACAAAGCACTGAATAGGCTAAAAGATGAAGAAGTCAAGGATTGAAGCCATTCACAAACCATTCTACGCAATTTCCTGGGCGAGAATCACGTTAATAACCACCAGAATAACGGAGTTTAAAACGTGGGAAGGCAGTTACAGCGAGAAACTGTCAGGACTATTCGTTTTCTAAGACAGTATTTACTGTCTCGCTGGGCGAGACAGCAAATTTACTGTCTCGCTGGGCGAGACAGCAAACACTGTCTCGGCCAGCGAGACACGAGACAGCAAATGCTGTCTCGCGATTTTGTTTTCTGCCAACTGTTCCTAGGGGCTATAAATACCCCCCGAAGGCGAGAGCATCCAGAGGCTGATCAGAGAGCATCCATAGGCTGATTCCAGAGCAGAGAGGGCAGAGTACTCGAGCTTCTGGCAACTCCTTGATATTCAGGCTTTGACTTGATTTCAAGAAGAACGACTATCTTACCTTGATAAGATATCGTTTCAAGTTCTCACTTCGATAAACGAAGTCAGAATCATAAACCCCTCACGATTCGATCAGAATCTGTGATTTGGTGGTCCACGGGCTAACGCACCCCCGGCACAGGCAAAGATCCCACGCAAGCAGTGATCCAAACAACGATCCTGCGTTTGTTTCCCAAGAGTTGTAATTTTTATTTTGTTGTGTAAAAGAAGTCTTATAAAAAAGCTATTTCTTTTGAATTTATTGTAATCGACTGAAGATATAATGAATTCCATGACAAAACCAACTTTTGACGCAAACATGGATACAGAGGACGGACTGAAGAGTTGAAGATAAGGGAGGTTTTGATGTGTATTTATGCTATTAGACCCCTCTAACAATTTTACACAAAAGCCCCTTACTTTCTCATATATATATATGAGAAAGTAATGAGTCATCAAGTGAAGATGGGGATGATGGGCTCCTATGAAGACGGTCTTCTACATGCTTCTATTTTGCCAGATTTAGTTCGCTCTTATGGGTACTGTGATATCTATTGGTCATTTTAATGACATGCTCATCATCCAATTGTTACCTTCTGTTTCAGATTACATCTACTAATTAGATTACATCTGATGTATACTTGTTACACGTTCCTTGTAGGTACTGTATTCAAGAATGAAAATTGCAGACGTGATGTTTTCAGCAGATAGATGCAGGAATTTGTTGTCTCCTACTTGATGTATAATATCTGTTGTAACTAAACTATGTTTCTCAGCTTATGGCCTTGCTTGGTGGGTTTTATGTATGTACTCTTGTTATTCCATGTGGTTAATGCTTTTGATATCAGTTTGTGAGAAGTGGTTGGGTTTTATGTATGTACTTTTGTTATACTAGACATCAGTTTGTGAGTAAGCGGTTGGGTTTTATGTATGTACTCTTGTTATACTAGACATCAGTTTGTGAGTAAGTGGTTGGGTTTTATGTATGTACGAAGCGAGGAAGGAGAAGCAGACTGGATCATCAAAGGTTCCACATATTACCAATGATTCAGCATATCTCAAACCATGCAATGTTATGTTCATAATTCAGCTGAGGTATTTTCCGAATGCAGCTTCTCAGATTTCTCGTGTTGAGGATGGTTTTTTAGAGAATGGAGATGCGAGAGAGCAAAGAGAACAGGCTCTTTTGTTGCATAGTGAAAGGCTTGCAGTCGCTTTTGGTCTTGTTTGTACTAAACCGGGTGTGCCTTTGCGTGTATTTAAGAACCTTCGGATATGTTCTGACTGTCATTTGGCTATGGAGTTGGTTTCTGATATCTATAAGCGAGAAATTATAATTAGGGATCGTAATCGCTTTCAATGTTTTAAGCATGGACGATGTTCCTGTGATGATTATTGGTGATGAGATGAAAAATATGGTCTTGGCTCTCCTGAGGGAATTTAATTGCCAGCAACGGTGAGAAAGTCGGGGTTTCATCATTAGATAAATGGTTGATGTGCAGACAAGAGTTAACGACCAACCATTATATGTTTTGATTGATATGAGGTCTCAGGCTGAGGATTGGAATGTTCTTTATTAGGACTCCCAAGTATTGTCCTTTAAAATGTTAACTCATATCCTTCAACGCCAGAGGCAGCTTCTCACATTCCACGTATTATTAAACCTGTTAATATGGGATTATATTCATAATTCACTGATCAATCTCAAACCATGCATTGTTATGTTCAATTATGATTGTGATGAACAAAGCCGAGCAGCATCCCTCCTCAAGCACACTGCAAAAATTAATGATAAAAGAAACGCTCAAATTTGCAAAAAAGAAGTCATCCAGAGACGAAACAAAGAAAGCAATAATACAACCAGAGACAAACAAAGAAGATCCTACAGCTCTATTGTGAATCCTTGCATTCGTCCATTCATCAAGTCTCTCTCTACAACCAAAATACAACCACAAATATCCCCACATTCATTTATTTATTATGTCAATCTTTCAACCGCATTTGCAGTTATCCTCAATTGCCAGCTGTAAGATTAAAACTTTCCACTAGAATATACATAATAAAATTTCCTAGAAATGAATTTAGATGAGCGTTACTATCACATTTCCCCCAATATAACTTCACCCGCTGTATGGTTTAATTCAATATACCTGCAACCAGAGATTTCCGACCGACGCTTGCTTCGACGGAGCTGACGAGGCCGAGATCGCGGGGGAGATGAAGGTTCGACGTCGGAAGGATGTTGGGATTTCCGACCGATGCTGACGAGGCCGAGATCGCGAGGAGCTGAAGCTAATTGTGGGAAAGAATTTGGGGGATTTTTTTGGGAACGATCTGAGGGATTTGGGGATTTTTGTTAGGGAAGCACACGATCTGAGGGATTTGGGAACGATCTGAGGGATGCTGGGGAGAAGTATCAGGAGAAGTGAGCCTCGATAAATGGGAAAGGGTGAAAACGAAAAGTGATCACGAGAATCCTTTCAACGTGTGCGAGTTTTGCAAAAAATTCCCTCAGATCGGAAAATGCGTACGCACTAATCCGTGTGAGCTGCCATCTCACTTAACCCCCTTGCCAGTAATTCTCAAATAACTAAAATGTCTTTGAGTGAAAATTTTCTAAACTTTATCACCGGCAACATATTCCTTCCCCTAAACTTTAAGTTTTTTCCTCTTAAGAAAATTTTAGTTATTTGCAAATTATAGGCAAGTAAGGCTATGTGAGGTTAGCTAAATTTTAAGGGAGTTTTGTGAGACACCCCATAATTTAGGGGATTATGTGAGATAAACAATGTTTACTGGGTTATGTGCAATCCCCCCCAAATTTCATGAGGGTTTGTGAACTTAACCCAAAAAATAGAGGGAGAGAAATTTTGTCAGGCTCCCCATTGCCCATGGTTTTCTTAGAAAACACCTTTGACCAAATTACTTCACATGCAAACCCCTATTCATATGAGTTTATACGTTAACTATCCTCATTTGGAAAGCCTGGCTTACTCCTCAGCGCAAATGAAATGAATCGGAGAGGATGTAATAGAAAAATAGATCCAATTAAATAGGAGTAATGAAATGTACTAAAAAAATAATAATGCGATCGAGATATTTTGGATCATATTTTGGCATTTGTTGGGTTTTAAAAATAATAGACTCAATTATTATATATAGCTAAATAATGTCCTAAGTGGAAGTTGATGATTTGCATAGATTTGATTTGAGCGTATTGCAATTAGGGATGGTAAATGATCGAATCAAATCGGATACTAAGATCCTCATAATTATATTTATTTAAAGTTATTGAATTTGAATGCGAATTCAAATATCTGCATCCAAAGTTTGTCAAATTCGAACTCGAATACTCAATATTTGTTAAATATTCATGTATATTTATCAAATATCAAAGTATTTTCATTTTTCTAAAGAATTTAATTTTTAAATAATATTAAATTTATAAATGAAAATTATCCCTTTGGAATAGTGATCCATATATATTTAATTCAAATATTTCATTAGAAAACTAATTTAAGATTATTTAAGTCTCTCAAACTTAGTATATAGAACTTAAGTAGAAAATATAAGCATGTTGAAAATATAACATCATATTCGTAATAATACAAATTATAAGCGATCGAATTTTAAACGAATATTTGATAAGCAAACAAATCGAATACACATCTGGTTAAAATTCTATTTGTTAATAAAATTGAATACTAAATATGGAATTGGATCAAGTATCATGGCCTCTAGATAAAACTGGTGTTTGTACTGCGAAATCTCTGCATAATGTTCTTAATAATTGTGGTATTCATAGTTCATATCATTCTCTTATATGGAATAATGTCTTGCCTAGAAAAGTCAAATTCTTCCTTTGGTTTCTTTTTATTTATAAACTGAATACTAAAGACAACCTCAGCAGAAAAGGCTGGACATGGGATCTCTCTCTGTTCCATATGTAAACTAGCTTTGGAAAACCATGAGCACATCTTTCTGAACTGTAATTTTTCCAAAGAGGTACGGGATTGCTTTTGTGACGTCCCTGGTTTCACACAATGCTGAAGTCCAAGGTGAACCCAAAGATGTCAAACCTGTCATGCACCTAACATTGTGCATAAACATGTTTCATCATCACATTAATATCGCTCTAGTAGATGTCAAGATAAGAAGTGTGGGTATAAGCAGATATATCAAGATAATAATACAAGGAATACAATAGAGAGAAGAGATATCCAATAATAACTTTAATTATATTCTAACAAAAGAAAAGAAAGTACATCTAAAAAACTAGAATAAAAACAATGAGTCTCTAACATATAAGAGTAAACTGAAAAGAATATAGACACTCAACCTCCAAAAGAAATACAACTCTAAAAGACTAAAAACAATAAAATATCCACTATGAAGCGCCTACTAACTATCTACTAATAAATGACGATGAGCTACACTGAGTCTCCGTCAACCTGCAGCTCTCCGAAACCCTGACTTGATGCCTAAAAAAATAAAAACAACGAGCGTCAAAGCCCTAGCGAGAACATATCCACCACCCCCATGGGGAAGGGGGTTAGGTGTATAAAAATACCGTTCATAGCATATAAAATATATAAATCATATATCCTAAACTAAGAGGAATTAAGGTTTAGAAATCCACAACATGAGATGAGTATATTGAGCAAAATAATCCAAACAAGGAAACCCTCATATATATATATATCATGTATCTCAAATTGTGGATCGCTAAATATCAACCCCAAATCCTATAAATAAACAATCAACAAGAATAAATACACCATCAACATCTCATACTAGACAAATAGTATATGTCGTATCATAGTATCTCACACTACCCTCGGGTAGGTGGCACGAAAACAAATGTACAAACCTGTGAAAGCCTCATAAAAATATACACTGCCATATAAGAATATCAAATGTTTGTCTACGTTCACAAATAGTACTCGTCTGAGTTCTAGGCTTCCTAAATATGTAGAGTGTAGTCGCTCGCTATATCATGCGGTACGCGAACTAATGTTGGACCCTAGAGGGGGGTTGATTAGGGTCAAGAGGCTATAATTATGCAATAAAATTAAGACAAGCAAACCACAATATTCTAATGCAATCAAAATAGAGGAGATAGGGTTAGGAATCGTTATCCTGTGACGCGCGATATGTTAACGAGGTTCGGTCCGCTGACCTACGTTCCCGCTCCCCACTCTCGAGGAGAAATCCACTACACAACCCGGTTTGGAAGCCGAAACTTCGTCTACACAGCGATCCCCTCACGATCTCACACTACACAGTTGATCTCACTAGATCACACTCCCTCACAGTTGATCTACACAAGATCACACTCACAAGATAGTAGAAATGGTGTAAGGCTCTCTCTTTACAACGTCCCTATGGCAAAGAGAAAGAGCACACTGAAGCTGGGAAGTGAACACACACAAAACTCAGAAGAAGGAAGTGAACACACACAAAACTCAGAAGAACAGGTTTTGAAATTTAAGCTCTGTGAAAAACAACGTCTCTAGTTTTTTGCAAAAGCTGGGACACTGAGGAACAAGAAGAGGTTGAGTTTAAATAGGAGAAAAACAGCTGTTTAAACCCATCCCTTAATCCCCCAAAATCTGGAACCAAAACGTCGCTGAGATCTGTACTGAGCGGCGCCGAAAAAGGATAAAGATCACCGTTTGAAAAATACGGCGGTCGACCGACGAAATTGTTAGACCCTAGAGGGGGGTGATTAGGGTCTTATGCTAATCTAATCCAATTTTATGCCAATTAAAACTAATAACAAGTTATCCTAGCAAGTATGAAATACAACAATATATATGAACTAGGATAAGCAATATGAACAACAAGATATATCCTAACAAAGAGATATAGGAAATGTATGTGCAATGATATATAAACTAACACAAAGGTGATATAATTAAACTACAAATGTGATAGTGCAAAATAAACAATGAAAACACACAATATGATCACGGAGTTCGGACCTTCCGTCCTACGTCTCCGCTCCCCACTCTCGGGGAGAAATTCACTATCACAACCTTTGGAAGCCGGAACTTCTACACACTCGGTTTACAAGATCACCGAAAACTCTCACACTACACAAACACTATGCAATCACACTTTACACACTAAGTGTAGGAACCTAGCCCGTGTCCTCCTCCTCAAGTGCTCGATTATAACCTCTCCCTAGGTTCGTCAACCGACGCCACTCCTATTGGATTTGACCACGTCTCTCGCCCCACACTTCTCTCGGTGTACAAGTGTATTACAAGTGATTCTCACAAATAAAAGTTAAATACAATGATTTGTTCTCAAATAACAAGTGAGAACACAATGAAGCTCACACTCACTAAATCACACCCCACAACCCAATATATGATGTATGAAATGCTACAAGCTCAAATAGGGTGTGTGTGATAATATGAGTATAGACAATTTCTAACTCAATTAACAAACTAGCAATAAATGATGATATGAAAATCAAAAACAAATTTGCTACATGTTCGCGGGAAAAATTGTTGCTTTCTTCATTGTTGATATCATTGCTATCTCAGTTAACAACTTTATGCGTTACAAAGATCCGGTCTTTTTATAAGATCCGGTTACAATGAAAAATCAAAGAAAACAAAGTAAAGATTACAATTTTTCTTATTTGTCGAACTAATCGCGAGCTCCTGTTTTGCGGTCGCTCGCTTTGGTGGGTTCTTTGCCTGCGCCGGGGTTATTTGCCGTGGACCACCGCGTGATCTCGATCCGGTCGGATCTACACGATATGACGGGTAATATTCCACCAAGGGAATAATAGCCGGGAGGGATTGTTTCACCAAGGAAACAACCGCTCGAATCTCGGGATCTAAGAACCAAGCTTAGATCCGGAGTGTGATCGTGTAGATCTCAAATCCAATCCTCTCGAACTCCTGCCTTATTTGGCGTTGGTGATCGCCGAGCACCGGATCTGAAAGTCCAAGTCTCCAAGCCTTCAAAGTTGTGATCTTTTTTAGATCTGAGTCTTCAATCCAGCAGGGCTTCGCCTCTCTCCAAAATTTCCAACCTCTGAAACAAATGAGCACAAGGCCTATTTATAGGCACTCAGAACTGTGCATTTGCACAGTTCTGAGCCTAGCCACCCATGGGTGGCTCGGCCTTGGCCGAGCCACCTCAGGGTGGCTCGGCCTTGGCCGAGCCACCCTGGGGTGGCTCGGCTTTGGCCGAGCCACCTCAGGGTGGCTCGGCCTTGGCCGAGCCACCCTGGGGTGGCTCGGCTTTGGCCGAGCCACCTCAGGGTGGCTCGGCCTTGGCCGAGCCACCCTGGGGTGGCTCGGCTTTGGCCGAGCCACCTCAGGGTGGCTCGGCCTTGGCCGAGCCACCCTGGGGTGGCTCGGCTTTGGCCGAGCCACCCTGGGGTGGTTCGGTTTCGGCCGAGTCCCCGGGTGTTTGTCCGTTTCGTCCTTTGTTTCCGGTTCTGGTTCTCTTGTGTGGTTGATTGACTTGGCAACGACTCTTTGACTTGATTCCAGATTTGGCAGTGAGTCGGGTTCCTGATATGGCAGTAAATCAACTTCTGAATTTGAGTCCGGAATTGATGTTGATTTGATCGTGATTCATCCGAGTTCGCTCTTGTTTAGATGACTCGGTGATTCACCTAAACATTGGTTTGATTCCGCGTGCGAGTGGATGCATTCCAATGCTTGGGTGCGATTTGTCGCCTCGTTAACCTGCTCCGTTGCGTATAGCTTGGCTTCAGCGTTGGCGAGCTAACGGTCTTGTTTGGATACGTCGCCCGGTGGTCCGTTTGTTAAATCGGCGTCGAGCTGTGCTAAGGGACCTATAGGCAATTTTATACGCCTACAGATACCCCCTCCAAAGTATTTCAGTCTCATTCTTTTATAGAAGAGTCTGGAATACTTTGGATGTGATTGCCCCAACCTTCAGTCGGTGTAACGGGACTCTGGAATGACTTCTGTTCTGGATTCCTTCAATTCCTTCAGGCTATTCAGTGCTTTGTAGAATGCCTGTAGGGGTTCCGGTGCTGCATTTATTGTCTGACCGTTGTTGGAATTTGAACTTGAAGTCGATTCTTGATTTCTTGACTTTTTGGCTCGAGTTTGCTGCTTCAACACAGAACTTATCATCGATTGACTGCGTTGAATCTTCATCTATAACGCGTTGTCTGGCGTTTGAGCTTCATTGCGACGCGTTGTCCGGCGTCCAGGCTTCATTATGATGCACTGTTCGGCATTTGACACAGTTTATACTCGTACGTCTGCTGGAGTACACACGGTTTAAGCTCTTAAGGAATTGGAGCATGGATCTTATCCCAAGGTCGTTGGATGCTCGAGTCACGAGACCAACTCATAAAGTTGATGCGTCAATGACTCGCATATTTATAGGATTTTTGGCAAATCCTCAGCCATCAACGGGTTTGATGCGCCTTTACCGACTACCGTTTGAGTCGGGCTAGCATGCGGATTGTTTTAAGTCCGTTCCGCATGTGACGTTATGCTAAAAGAGTTAACTCTTTTAGTGCTACGATATTGAATACGTAGACTTCGTCTTTCTCCTGTGAAAAGACTAAACAGCAACGTGTATCAGACGTTGACTTAGGATTTTTGGCAAATCCTCAGCCCTCAACGGATTTGTCATGCTTTTACCGATTACCGTTTGAATCGGGCTTACATGCGGATTGTCTTAAGTCCGTTCCGCATGTGACGTTGTGCTAAAGGAATGAACTCCCTTAGACTTGATGCTACGACTTCGAATACGTAGACTTCGTCTTTCTCACGGGAATAGACTACCCGGCGACGCGTGTTAGGCGCTGACTTTAGGATTTTTGGCTAACCCCAAGCCTTTAACGGATTTGATTAACCTTTACCGACTACCGTTTGAGTCGGGCTAGCATGCGAATTGTCTAAATCCGTTCCGCATGTAACGTTGTGCTTAGAGACTGAATCCTCTAAGACTTGTTGCTATGACTTTGAATACATAGACTTCGCCGTTGTCATGGGAATAGGCTACCCAGCAACGTGTATTAAACGTTGACTTATCCCTCCTTAGGCTTCGGGATAAAATACCCCAGAATCGAACTCTGGTGTCTTTTTCTACGGGGAAAGACTAAACCGGCGACGCGTGTTAGGCGTCGGCATATCCTTTCTTAGGATTCAGGATGAAATTCCCCATGCGTGTAAGGCATGGATTTTGGTGTTATTAATAACAACCTGTCACAATGTTGAATATGTGAACGGGTGTTCTTTTTAAACGGTTAAGAACTGACCGGCAGCGCGTGTCAGGCGCAGACTTATCCTTGCTTAGGTTTCAGGATAGAATACCCCAGAATCGAACTCTGGTGTCTTTTTGTGCAGAAAAAAGACTAAACCGGCAGCGCGTGTTAGGCGCAGACTTATCCCTGCTTAGGATTCGGGATAAACTTCCTAGGATGAATCCTGAATTCTTCGAAAAGGATTGGTATGGGGAAGGAAGAATTTTATATTCTATTCCCCGAACAAAGAAGGAAAGGAGACTCGAGGTGGGATCTCCACCCCCAGAATCCGGAAAGGTGAAACTAAGAGTGGGATCTCCACTCCGAGAATCAAAAAGATTCGGATAACCCTAACTGTCGGAAGGTTTGATTATCGAACTAAAGATGAATTTCTCGTTTATCGAGAATGAATCGTGGTTTTGGTCCTAACTGTAGGAAGGTTTGACCAAGTGGGAGGTTTGAGGTGACCCTAACTGTAGGAAGGTTTGATCACTCGATTTGAAAGTGGACCTCTCGTTCATTGGAGGAATCGAGAGGGGTTTTTGGTTTTGGTCCTAACTGTAGAAAGGTTTGACCGAATGGAAGGTTTAAGACGATCCTAACTGTAGGAAGGTTTGATCGCTTGATTTGTGGACCTCTCGTTCATTGGGAGAATCGAGAGGGGATTTTGACTGTGGTCCTAACTGTAAGAAGGTTTGACCAATCAGGAACTTTACGTCCAGACTCTAACAGAGAGAGTGTTGAGTGCGGATTGACTTCTTATTAATCAAAGTTATTCATGTTTCAATTATTTTATGTTTGTTTTTCAATTTAATTATATGAATTAAATTAATTATTTTTCCAGATTTATTAAAAAATAAAATATTAATATCAAATTTAAGTTATTAGAGGCAATTATATTTGTACCTTAAATTAATATCTTTATTTTAATTCCAACTATTTGGGGCATTTATATCTGCATCTAATAAGTTATTAGAGGCAATTATATTTGTACCTTAAGTAAATACATTTATTATATTTCAAACTATTTGGGGCATTTACATCTACACCTAAGAAGTTATTAGAGGCGATTATATTTGCCTCTAATACTTTTTCAAATAAACCGGCTGAGGTGGCGCATTGAGTATTTGGGGCGGAAGTTTGTGCAATATTGCCCCTAATAACTATTAGCAACACCACATTTAGGTGCAAATACGAGATTTGCCACTCATGTAATTAGAGGCAGATAATTCCATTTATTTGCCTCTAATTAAATTAAAAGTGACGAAAATAATTGCCCCTAACTCTTCTTTTTTTTGTAGTGTTCGATCGACCGGACAGCAAATTCAGTCGACCGGAAGTATCTCGCAGTCGACCGGACAAGGTGCATCAAATTGACCTGTAGCCGTGCACGTTTCCGGTCGACCGGCCTAGCCTCGCGGTCGACGGGGCAGTACCAAAAATCCTGTCTGCTTCAAAAATCCTGAACTTCGTCGCCGTGTCGCCATTTCTACAATTACTACTCTATCTATGATGATTAACTGCCAATGTATATATGCAGACAGAGAATTCATTTGAATGATGTTATTCAACTAACCACATATGTTAATTGTAGGTGACGATCATTCTCTTGGCGTAGTGGTGAAGACTGAGAATTTGCAGTAACGCATCCTGCTAAATTCAGTTGCAGACTGGACACAGTGGAGCCTGAAGAGGTTGTCCCCATGCAATGAGAGCCGAAACGGGAGAAGAATGCCAGTTTGCTAACCCGCCATGCGGCGGTGGATCCAGCCTCTGATACCTGTAGCCAGCTGTAGCTAACCAAGATTTTTATGAGGCTTCAGCATTCTTGAAGCTCCTCTTCCTTCTATATAAACCCCTTTCTACTTCCTATTTCCTTCATCAGAGTTTAATCAGTACGTAGTTCACTGCTTTAAGCATGGCCAACTTCTTTCTCTTTCTCGCTATATCTTCTGCTCTAGTTGTCACCACTTTTGCTCAAAGCTTCTCATCAAGGAATTTTGGGGTGACTGGTAACGCCTACATACAGGAAGGCGGCAACCAACTACAGCTCAACCTCGAGCCAGCCGGTGGTTCTGAAGCTGTATCAACACAACAGTATCTTTATGGAAGGTTCGACATGCAGATCAAGGCTGTCGCTGGCTATTCCGCTGGCGTTGTGACCTCTTACTTCGTGAGTATACCACCATCACTTGGTAGCTATTTCATCCATCCCCTCAGTTAACCTGGACATCATACATATGCATATTTGAGAACGCACGTTTATTATTTCACGTAATTCGTGTGCAGCTCCAATCTCCAAGACCAGCGAACGATCAGATGGACTTTGAACTATTAGGTAACGTAACAGGGCAGCCCTACATACTGCACACCAACGTGTGGACGAGTGGGCAGGGTAACAGGGAGCAACAGATATTCCTGTGGTTTGATCCCACGGCTGACTTCCACACCTACACCTTCGTCTGGAATCCGCAAAACATACTGTACTTGTCAAGCTACCAGTTATTTAGACTGTAAAGGGTTAATCGCGGATGGACACCTGTAGTTTCATTGTTTTAAACATAGTTTACCTCTAGTTTTATTGTTGCATATAAACTCACCTAAAGTGATTTTTTTTTTTTTTTTGACTCTTTTATCTTTAGAGGACCTAGTCAAAAGAGAATTTTTCTCTTAAGTAAACGAGTCAGAAAAAAAAGCCACTCTCAATATACATCAGAAACAATAATGCTGGAGGGGTATTAAACTCAGTAATCAAAGCAGCAACAATCGAAACAGCGATACTACAGGAGGTCTATCCCCAGTTAACCCCTAACATTAGTCCTTCTTCTATGGTTTAACTAATAATATAGCCATTGCAGGTGGCTAGTCGATGGAATACCAGTGAGAGTTTACAGAAACGCGCAGCAGCAGGGCATCCCGTACTTGAATAGCCAACCGTTGAGCGTTCACAATGCAGTGTGGAACGGAGAGCAATGGGCTACAAGGAGAGGGCAGGTGCGGATCGACTGGAGTCGGGCGCCGTTCGTGGGCTACTACCGCAGTTACAGCGCCAATGCATGCGTCGCGTCATCATCACAGGACGCGTCAAACTGCAGTGGAAATAGTGGAGAGTGGATGAATTGGAGTCTGGATGAAGCTCAGGCCTCTAGGCTGAGGTGGGTGAGAGAGAACTACTTGGTTTATGACTACTGTCAGGATCAAGGGCGATTCCCGCAGGGAACTCCTCCCGAGTGCTCTGTCAACAATGTGTGATTAACGTAATTGACGCACTGTGAGAATTGGAAGTTAACTATGAGGGGAGTATGAGTGAATAAGATCATGAGATGTCGGTGTTTTCACTTTCGACGATGTAATAGGCCATGCTCTCGTAACTTGCTTCAGCCAATAAAAGAAAAGAGGTTTGAATAAAGTTGTGTTCTACTAATTAGTATAGTTAGAAGACTCATTTTGCTTTTGTCTAAAAATTTTCAAGATAACTTCTGTTTAGAATCCACAGTGTAGCTTTAACTGGGAGGTCAAGATGGATGACAGGGAAAGATCCGGAATATCACCAAGATCATTTTCTTTATTGAGGTTGTAGATGAAGAATCTGTGGAAGTTCATCTTCAAATTGGAGAGAGATTCAAAAGCATAATTGTTAAAGTAAGAGAGAGAGAGATTCTTGGGTAAATTTCCCTTGAGTTGAATATTGAGTGTACACATATATTTATACAAGTAGAGGAGGGTGAGGTGTTTTCTCACAACCAATGTGGGACTAAAACCCACTACAATACATTATTATCAACAGCCCCCCTCAAACTCATGTTGGATTAAACAAAGTGAGTTTGCGTACAAGAAACTGGAACCGATGAACATGTAAGACCTTTGTGAAAAAATCTGCAAGCTCGTCAGCGGATGAGACATGAGGAAGTAGAATTGTCTTGTCCTTGATAACTTGTTGACGGACAAAATGAGTGTCGATCTCAATATGTTTGGTCCTCTCATAAAATACTGCATTATTAGATATCTAGATGGCACTATTATTATCACAGTAGAAAGGAGTAGGAGTCGTAACAGAAATACCGAAATCACCGAGAAAACGACAAAGATGAATAATCTCTTTAATTGTTATGGCTATTGCACGATACTCTGTCTCGGTACTGGAAAGAGCAATCACATCTTGTTTCTTACTCCGCTAGGATAAGGGAATCACCAAAAAATATACAATAACCTGTGGTAGATTTTCTGGTAATTGAATCACTAGCCCAATCAGCATCAGAATATGCACAAAGATCTAACTTAAATGTAGAAGGAAACAAAAGAGAGCGAATGCTAGTACCCTGGAGATACCAAAGAATCTGTAATAAGGCAACATAGTGTACAGAACATGGGGCACTAACAAATTAACTGACAATGCCAACAGCATGAGAGATATCTGATCGAGAAATGTACAGATAGACCAACTGGCCAACAAGATGTCGATATCGGGTACGATCAGATAGAGGCTCACCATCAGTAGAGCGAAGTTTGACATTCTGTTAGAGTGGAGTATCGACAGTTGCATCGTCAGTTAGCTCAGCTCGATCTAGAATATCCGAGAGATACTTCTATTGAATCAGTAGTACACCCCGCGGGTCTTGAGAAATTTCTAGACCAAAAAAATACCGAAGAGATCCAAGATCCTTCATGTGGAACTATTGTTACAACTAAGATTTTACGTACTGTATATCAGCCACATCTTCAGCTGTAATGATCATATCATCTACATAGATGAATAATAAAACTCTGTCACGCAATGTAGTACGAACAAACAGAGAAGCATCTTGATGACTTTCCATAAAGCCCGCCTTGAGCACGACATCATGAAAACACTCAAACCAAGCGTGGGTGCCTACTTGAGATCATAAACAGCACGACAAAGGAGACATATATGTCCTGGAGGAATATTAGACCCTGGAGGCGGTTGCATATATATTATCTCAGATAAAGAGCCATGAAGAAAAGTATTTTTGACATCCATCTGGTATAAGGGCCAGTGATGAACAGCAGCAATCGCAAGTAGAGTACGAACGGTGGGTATCTAAGCAATAAGAGCAAAGATCTCCTCATAATCAATACCTTATTGCTGAGTAAAACCTCGAGCCACTAAATGAGCTTTCCGACATTCAATGGTGCCATCAGGACGAAACTTGACCTTATAAACCCATTTACTGCCAACATGAAAGATCCCAGGAGGACAGGGAATAACATCCCAGGTATGAGTTTGTTGAAAGGCTTAAAATTCCTCAACCATAGCATATCGCCACTCTGAAATTTGAACTGCCTCTTAAAAGGACTTTGGCTTAACGGTAGTATGAATGGAAGCAAGAAAGTTATGAAAGATAGGTGAATAAGAAGTAATCGAATCATACCGGGTAAGCATGACATGTGGGCGTTTACATCAACAAAGAGCAAGAGGAACCTCAAGCGGGGGAGATGTTGGCGCATATGCGTGAAGATCAACAGTATGTTCTGGAGGGAGAGTTGTGTCCACGGGATAGGGATTAGATGGTGTAAGAGAAGGCTCGGGTGAGGAAGAGTCAACAGAAGGATATGAAGAGATGTCAGGGAGATCTCGAAATAAAAGTTGAGGTGAAGAAGTAGGTGATGAAGCTGACAGGGAAGCATGATCAGTAGAGTGGAGGAAATTAAAGTCATCAGAAGTAGAAAAATATGGAGAATCCTCTTCGAACTGAACATGACGAGATATATAAACTCAACGAGTTGCGAGATCATAACAATGATAACCTCGATGTTCCAAACTAATTCCTAAATAGACACAATAAATAGCTCTGAAAGATAATTTATCACGTTCGTGAGATGGCAGAAGAACAAAACATCGATAACCAAAAACACAGACTAGATCATAACAGGGAGGATGAGTATAAACATGATTATAAGGAGTAGTACCAGAAAGACAGCTAGATGGAGTGATATTAATAGCATGAGTCGCGATGAGAATAGCCTCAGCACAGAAATAATGAGGAACATAGTAAGAAATAAGTATGGATCAAGCGGTATCGAGGATATGACAATATTTGCGTTCAGCAACACCATTTTACTCATGAGTGTAGGGACATGACTGTTGAAAGATAGTCCCATGAGAGGACATGATAGAGCGCATAGTAGAGGAGTGTAGGGACATGACTGTTGAAAGATAGTCCCATGAGAGGACATGATAGAGCGCATAGTAGAGGATAGGTACTCTTTGGTGTTGAAAGATAGTCCCATGAGAGGACATGATAGAGCGCATAGTAGAGGATAGGTACTCTTTGGCACAAACAGAATGGAAAACTTTAATACGAGATTATCATTGAGTAAAAATCATAGCAGTGAAGGCTTGATAAGCAGTAAGTACGTCAAAGTGATTCTTAAGTAGGTAAATCCATGTAAAATGAGAGAAATCGTCGATAAAACTAACATAATATAAGTAGCCAGATGAAAAAAGCAGAGAAGCTAGCCCGCAAATATAAGAATGTACTAAATCAAATAAGGAAGTGGATATGGATGTACTCATTTTAAATAGTAAAGCAGTGGATTTAACCAATTTGTAACCAGTACATGACTCAATACTAGAACTAGATGATACAGGACTAAGTATTTCAAATTGAATAAGACTCTCCAGCCTTTTATTAGACACATGACCAAGTCGTCTATGTCACAAATTAGCAGGAAGCGAGGTAGAGGGTTTTGACGAACAAACAGAAGCAACAAGAGAACGTGGGTATATGGACTCTGGAAGGTGAAGATATTCCAGAAAATACAGTTTGTGCCTCCTACGACCCGCCCCAACCATCTTTCCCATCTGTGGATCCTGCACAATACAAATTTCAGAAAAAAATAAGATAAGCATGCCAACCATACATAAAGAGCTAATAGAAATTAAATTCAAACACAGCTGAGAAGCCACATAGACGGGACCAAGTGTTAGACGTCCAGATGGATCATTTTGTGGGGTAATAGATCCATACTGAGTGATGGACAATGGTTGTCCAGTAGCCATGTAGATAGGGGAAGAGAAGATGAAGTGAAGACAGAGGATAAAAGTGAGACATTACAAGTCATATGAAAGGAACAGCCAGAGTCAAAAATCCAGAGATCATTCATACCAGAGATCGAAGGATTAGCTGAAGATCCAACAAAATGCATACCAGAGAGTTGTGCGGTGGATGTAGAGGTGATATGATGAAAAGCATCAAGTTGACGATGAAGACTTTCAATAGCTTGAATAGTAGAGTCTGAAGTAGTAGAAAGTATAGCATTGGCCAGCAATCCTGGTGTACGAGAGGGTTAAGACTGAGGAGGTTGCTAACCACGACTAGTACCTTAGGAACGTAACTCAGGATGAATCTTAAAGTATGTCTCAATGCGGTGTCCTTCCTTCTTGCAATATTTGCAAGAGAGCTTAGATCGAACATGTGGAGAGGGAGCTTATGGAGAAGTATGTTTCATAACAGGAGCAGTGACAGGTACAGACATAACAGTCTTGAGTGAAGAGGTGGGAGTGTTTGTTGACAAATTGAGTTGTGATGTCTGTTGTCGGGTCTCATAAGCAGTGAGAGCTCTCATAACTGAGGCCAAAGTCATAAATTGAGGCTGATGAAGTAGTTGATCAGCTATAGTTGAATATTCAGGAAAGGACTGAAATAGTTGATGCACCTCATGTCGTTCGTACCAGGCTAGCTAGTTTTCATATGTGGAATTACGTCCAGGAAGTATGAAGCGTAATTCTGTCCAAAAAGCTTGTATTTGTTCAAAATAAGACTGTAGACATGAACTATCTTTACGTTGTAGAGCAATGTGTTACAGAAGATATGCCTCCCATGCACCAGAGCACTCAGTGAAACGCCCAGTGAGGCGAGTCCACATGGCTCGAACAGAGGGAAGCGAACCAATTTCGACAGTGAGACCAGAGCCAACACAGTGAGTGAGATAATCCATAACATGAAATTCCTGCAACTGCTAGTCTGAGCTCTTCTTGACATAGAGAGCACGAGCGGTCTGAAGATCGACATCACCACTACCACATGCAATAGTATTGGATGAAGCAACAGTACTGATGGACGATGGAACCGGTCCCGTACTGGTGAGATGATCAAGCAAACCAACGTCACGCAAGGCATTGGTGACAATGGTGGACCACCATACCCAGTCACTTTAATCATTGAGGAGCAAAGGTGGTTTGGGAATCTTCTCTGAAGGAGCCATAACAACAATGTTGAGACGGATGTTAAGACGTCGAGATGGATTAAAACGGTGATGTCGTTACTGACTGCGAAACGACAATGTTGTTCGTTTGAGGCCGAGAGACGGCTTGAAACGGCGATGCCGTTAATTTGAGACCGAGAGACGGTCTTAAAAACAGCGATGCCGTAAATTTGAGACCAATAGATGGTCTTAAAATGGCGATGCCGTTAAAATAGAACCCGGATGTTTAAAATAGAACCTGAAGGCTAGTATGAAACCCGAAGGTTTAAAATAGAACTCGAATGTTTAATATAGAACCCGAAGGTTAGTATGAAACCCGAAGGTTTAAAATAGAACCCAAATGTTAATGTAGAAACCTGAAGGTTAAAATGAGAACGTGAAATGCGTTAAGAGGCTGCAAAGCAGCAAGGCCAAGATTTGGCAAAAGAACGCAGAAGTGTTAAAAAATTATTGGAAGGAAAATAATAACCCTAACTTTGATACCATGTTAAAGTAAGAGAGAGAGAGAGAGAGAGAGAGAGTCTTGGGTAAATTTCCCTTGAGTTGAATATTGAGTGTACACATATATTTATACAAATAGAGGAGGGTGAGGTGTGTTCTCACAACCAATGTGGGACTAAAACCCATTACAATACATTATTATCAACAATAATAAAGGAGTAAATTGGTAATTTCATGCAACAATCTCTCTCGCGCGAGTAACAGGATTCAGATATCCAAGAACTTGCTAATGAGTAACTAACTAGGACAAATGGATATAGCAGTACATCGGAGAAGGCCAGCAGAAGCATTATAAAACAGACTAATCTAGATTTCTGACAGAATCGATCACTGAGAATATAAGAAGGATGTACATACGTACAAGAGGTTCGCGTCTACTAAGAATATAAGAAGGATGTAGATACGTGCAAATGGTTTACAAAACGCGAACCGAATATAAACACAACACAATCAACTCAAAAAACCTCAAACATTTTGCGTGACACCACTAGGCACTTTATCATGTTGAGTGCCATCCTCCCCCGACGCCCACCCATGCCTCGTAATATCAAACTTCTCGCCGTCCCCCCACAGTGCATATGCCTCCTCCCCGTGCACTGCATCGTCCCCGATAGTCAGCTCCTCCTCCGGCATCCTCAGTGGCACCACCGTCCGAATCACAAGACAAATGATCGTCGTGACTACGACGTTCCAACCAATAATGAAAAGCGCGCCGATGATTTGTTTGACGAATGGTAGCCTCCAACGCTGGGGCCGTAGAAGCCCTCCACGGAAGTTGGTGAGCGAGGGAGGAAGAGGGAGGAGAGGGTCGGCTGGCGAGGAGGCGGTGGACAAGCCGATGAGTCCAGCCACGGCGTGGGTGTGGAAGACACCAAGGGTGTCGTCAACCTTTTGGAGGATAGGGGAGCGCTTGTGGACGACCATCATCGTGAACCAGGGGATGCTGCCGGAGAGTATGCCCATCACTATGGCTGCCCACCCTTGCACAAGTCCTGCATCAATAGTTTTGTAATTCTAAGTAGTTACAGAAATAACATGTATAAAAACATGGATCTATCAGAAATGAGAATGTTAGGGTAAACGAATGGGTATATACTAAGAGATAAGAATATTGAAAATGCATATAAAAACTTAGAGGTTGCTCCTATTAGCAATAAAATCCACTTAAAATGGTTTGTTATTGTGCGACAGAGGACATCGAATTCAAACTTAAAGAGATTGCTAAGTATAACAATTAGGGTCCGTTTGGTTTCAAAAAAATGCTTGTGAAAGCCTGACAAATTGTCAGAATTTCAACCAAAAACGCCATTTTAAGGGGCGTTTTTGGTTAAAAGCTGACAAAAACAGTAGCTTTTGTACTGTTTTTGTCAGGCTTTCATCAAACTTCTTTTGAAACCAAACGCGCCCTTAGAGAAGAAAATAGTTTACTAAATAAAGTGCCAGGTCATATTCGATGTGCCTTTTTAGTTTACATGTTGATAGCTAATAGTGAAAATTGATGAAAGTAGACAGAAAGTGCGAGAAGAAAATTATATGAAAAATGTTACAATCAAATTGCAGGCAAATGTTGACTTTTTGAGGAAAAATTGCTATCAACAAATCAATCACTTTTGTCATCCAATGAATGTTACAAACTCATTTAACATGTTAAAAAACTGTAGAATAGGTCACATACTCTGCATGAATAAGAAGTAAAAAAGCATTTTTTTTTTCCACAGTCAAAGACTTCTAGAAGAAGTAAAGCATGCGTGTGAAATCAAAGCTCCAAAGATCCTGGGTTAGAACTGTGTATGGTGATGCATGTACTTTGAATTCAAACGTTGTATCTTTTTTTTTCCCTTATAAATCCAAAACTTTTACTCACAACTACCGAAAAATCCAACTAGTTCCATATGTCCAATAAACCCAAAGTGCAAAGTTTATTTATCTTTAAACCCAAAATGTAGAACAAAAAGTGTATAATACAAAGTGTACAGTTGCATACAAAACGATGTTCAACTATATTATACAGGGTGTATAATTACATAATATAAAGTGTATAGCTACATAATTTAGATGTAATTGTTAGAAACAGAGCAAATCATGATAAAAACGTGTATGTATTCATTGGTGTTATAGTCTGTATACACAATGTAGGTAGAATTATTCTACTACTCTACCCGATGTGGGACTAAACAAGAACTATGTATGCAATATTTAACACCTCCCCCCTCCAAAAAAAACTGTAATTGGGTCAACTAATGGTAGTTTGTGAAGAAGAAATAAATGTCGTTGTATGTTATGAGCTTTGGTGAATAGATCTGTTGGTTGAAGATCAATATGCACATATGGGAGAGAGATTGTGCCAGCCAGAAGATGATGGCGAGTGAAGTGATAGTCAATCTCTATGTGCTTCGTGCGTTCATGAAATACGGGATTGCTGGTGACTTTGATGGCGCTCATGTTGTCACAATGAAGAGGAGTTGTCGTTATGGAAGACACACCCATGTCAATAAGGAGTCGCCGTAGCCAGACGATCTCTGCGGTAGTAGACGTCATGGTGCGAAATTATAATTCCACATTGGAGTGAGAGACAACATCATGTTTCTTAGATTCCCAATAGATGAGAGAGTCATCTAGGAAGATACAATAGCCAATGGTAGATTGGCGATCTATAATGTCACTTGCCCAGTCAGCATCACTGTAGGAACAAAGGATGAGTGATGATGATGCTGAGAAGAATAATGCTCTACTTGGTGTCTCACGAATGTAGCGTAGAACACGAAGAAGTGCTAATTGATAAGAAGAGTGAGGCGCAGTGACAAATTGACTAAGGACATGAACCATATGAGAGATGTCGGGTCTGGTAATAGTGAGATAGAACAGGCTTCCTATAAGATGTCGATATTTAGTTACATCAAATAGTGGATCACCATTGGTAGCATTGAGTTTGACATTCAGTTCGAGGGGCATCCGAGCTAGTTTTAGATCTGTTAGCCCTGCACGATTGACAATGTCGGTGGCAAATTTCTGTTGAGATAGATAGTAGCCACATGGTGTTTGATTGATCTCCAATCCGTGGAAGTAATGTAGGTTGCCTAGGTCTTTCACTTCAAACTCTCGTTGAAGGTGAGATTTGATATGGTTGATGGTTGCTGGATAATCAGTGGTAATGATCATGTCATCAACATAGAGGAGGAGGATGGTGCGTTGGCCGTTTGAGGAGCAGATGAAAATTACTAGATCAATTTCACTCGGAAGAAAACTAGTTGATTGCATAACCTGTGTGAATCTGGCAAACTATTTTGAGGTCATAGAGAGCTCAGCAAAGGTGACAGATAAGGCCTTTGGAGTGAGGGAGTCCAGGTGGTGGGGTCATGTAGATATCCTCAGTGATGTTTCCATGCAGAAAGGCATTTTTGACATCCATATGGTACAATAGCTATTGTCGAGAAGCAGCAATGGAAAGCAGTGTTCGAATAGTGGTCATTTTAGAAACTAGGGAAAAGTTCTTCTCATAGTCCACCCCATATTATTGTGTAAAGCCTCGAGTGACTAACCTAGCCTTGTGATGCTCGATGGTTGTCAGCTCTAGTCTTGACCTTGTAGGTCCATTTGCAAAGCTGATAGGGGTTTTTCTTGGAGGAAGAGCAGTAAGATCCCATGTATGAGTTTTTTGGAGAGCAGTAAGTTCGTCATGCATTGCATGTTGTCACTCAGGGCGTTTAACTGCATCATGTTATGAATGGGGTTCCACATAATCTGACATCATCATAGTGGTTGTGTGAAAAGTAATTGAGGTGAAGTTGGGGTCATTGTATTTGGCTAGTGGTTGGTAATCTCCGGAGAAATATCTTGGCTCCGATAAGATGTCAGTAGTGAGTGGTTCAGGTTCACTTGAAATTGGTGAAGAGGTTGATTTATCCGGTGTGGTAGGAGGTGGGTCAGGACTGGCCACTTGCTCGGTGGGAGAACTAGTTTATGGACATAGCTTTGTAGTATTTTGTGGTCCCAGAGAGTAGGGTGTGTCAAGATCAAGAAATATGAGATCTATGGGTGTAGATGCTGGTGAATGTACATGTGGAAGGGTAGGGTGTAGTAATGGAAAATGTACAAAGAATGTGACATGGGGAGAGATGCGGAGGCGATTAAAATGAGGGTCATAGCAGTGACACCTTTATGATGGAGATTGTATCCAAGGAATGCGCACATGACAGATCGAGATGAAAGTTTGTTGCACTTTGAAGATGGAAGTTGGATGAAGCATGTGCAGCCAAAGACTTGAAGGTGAGAGTAGTTTGGTGGTGTTTGGTATAGTTGTTAAAAAGGTGTGAGGCCTGTTAGAGTAGTGGAGGGGATGTGATTGATGAGATAAACACTAATGAGGAGAGCTTCTACCCAAAACTGAACAGGTACAGATGCAGATAGTAAAAGTGATCTGGTGGTTTTAAGGATGTGTCGGTGATGCCTTTCAGCTACACTGTTTTGTTCGTGAGCATATGGGTAGGGGAATTTAGAGAGGGTTCCCTAAGAGGCAAGGAATTCTGTGAAGCGACGGGATGTATATTCTCCCTGAGTAAGAGCATACGCTTTTGATGTTGGAGAAGAATTGGGTGAGGATCTTGGTGGCAAAGTTGTTATAAATGTCATATGCATCAGTTTATGTTACATCAAATAGAATGATGTTAAATGAGAATGATCATCAATGAATATTATGTAGTAGCGCTTATTACCACGAGATGGATGTGGAGATGGTCCCCAAATGTCAGTATGATGAGGTTGAAAGGTGCAGAAGCAATTTGATTGATTATTTGAAAAGGTTGGGCTAAGTGTTTTGCAAACTTGCAGGTAGTATAGGGTGACAATGCATCAGTAGGAACATTTCCTAATTTTCCAGTTGCGGAAAGGGTACGAAGATGAGGTACAGATAGATGACCAAGGCGACAATGCCAAAGGTCATAGGTGGTTAGTTTAGAGTTGAGGAGACGAAGGAAAGATCTAGCATAGGTCACCGATATTACGGCATGTCCCAACCATTTATCCTGTTAGAGGATCCTTATAAGACATGAAGGGATGGAAAAATGGACCCAAAATTAATTGCCCACTCATACCCACCCGCCAAATGAACCATCCAAACCCACACATTTAGTTAAATGGGTCATAAATGGGTGGGAATTGTTTCTATTAAAGATAAATGGGTCATTAATGGGCGGGTTATTACCCACCCATTTACCCGTTTAGATGGATATTATTTTAAAAACACCACCAATGCTTCAACAATTACAAAACTTATTTTTTAAAAGTTAAAAATTATAGAAAACACTTAAAATGACTAAAACCCCTTAAAATTTTGAGATTTGCAAAAAACACCCTCAAAGTTTAAAATATTATAAAAACGCCCTCAAGAGTTAAAAATTATAAAAAAAACTATCAAAATTTTCTAACCTCACAGATGACACATGAAATTCAAAAATTACCACCAGCCCCCTAAAATTTTATAATTTACAAAAAATACCCTTAAAAGTTGTAGAAAATGAGAAAAACACTCTCAAGACTTCAAAATTACCAAACAATCTTAGAGTTTTCTAAACTTGCAAATGATATATGAAATCTAAAAAAATTCAATAGTCTCCTATAAATTTAAAATTTGCAATTAACACCCTCAAAGTTTTAAATTTTTAGAAAAACACCCTCCATAGTTTAGAATTACAAAACCATTCTGAAATTTCAAAGCCTATAAATGACACATGAAATTAAAAAATTACTAGCAACCCCCTATAAATTTATAATTTACAAAAAGCACCCTCAAAGTTTAAAAATTGCAAAAAGCACCCTCAAGAGTTCAAAACTACAAAACAATCTTAGAATTTTCTAAACTTACAAATGACACATGAAATCTAAAAAATTTTGGTAGTCCCCTATAAATATCAAATTTGCAAGTAACACCCTCAAACTTTTAAAAATTGCAAAAAACACCCTCAAAGATATATAAATATAAAAAGTAGGCGCTCACAATTCTTCGTCGGCATGAGATATATGCGTGTGCGGCCAAGTGTAATTTGTAAAACTTGTGTCTATTGCGCGAGAAACAGAAGAGAAAGAGAGCGTGTATTGTTATCCGGCGTGATAAAAAAAATTCAAGGAGAATTACTTGGGGACACTCTGTAATTAAGAACAAACATGAAAAAAATAATAGACTTTAACCAACAACAAATATGAAGAACTGAACAATTACGCTCATAGCTTATGGATTTTGAGAAAGAAATGTTTACAGAAACCCCCCTGAAAATTTATAGAAAACTCCCTAAAAGTTTATAAAAAAACCCCTGAAAGTTTGCAGAAAACCCCCTAAAAGTTTATAAAAAAAACCCCCTAAAAGTTTACATAAAACCCCTGAAAGTTTGTAGAAAACCCCCTGAAAGTTACAGAAAAACCCCTAAAAGTTTACAGAAAACCCCTGAAAGTTTGCAAAAAACCCCCTGAAAGTTTGTAAAACCCCCCTAAAAGTTTACATAAAACCCTAAAAGTTTATAGAAAATCCCCTAAAAGTTTGCAGAAAACCCCCTGAAAGTTTACAGAAAACCCCTTAAAAGTTTATAGAAAACGCCCTGAAAGTTTACATAAAACCCCTGAAAGTTTACATAAAACCCCTAAAAGTTTGCAGAAAACCCCCTAAAAATTTACAGAAAAACCCCTAAAATTTTGCAGAAAACCCCCTGAAATTTTACAAAAAATCCCCTGAAAGTTTACAGAAAACCCCCTGAAAGTTTGCAGAAACCCCCTGAAAGTTTGCAGAAACCCCCCAGAAAGTTTGTAGAAAACCCCCTGAAAGTTTGCAAAAAATCCCTGAAAGTTTGTAAAAAACCCCCTGAAAGTTTACAAAAAAACCCTGAAAATTTACAAAAAACCCCTGAAAGTTTGCAGAAAACCCCCCTGAAAGTTTACAAGTAAATCCCTGAAACTTACATATATATAGAAGCATCATAATCATAACTAAATGGGTTATTGGGTCACCCATGAACCACCCATTTAGTAAATGGATGGTTGAGAACTGACCCATTTAGCAAATGCTAAATGGGTCATAAATGGTTAAGTGGTCATAAATGTGCCCACCCATTTATGACCCAACCAAGACCCAACCAAAACCACCCATTTGACATCCCTAGACATGATGAAGCGAAGAAGGTAGCAGTATAGTTATGCGAGGTGATTTGTGAGACTGAGAGTAAGTTCATAGTGACATTAGGGACATGGTATACGTTGGAGATCGAGAATTAAGTCTTAATATGCAAGTGACCTAAAGAAGTCATGGATAGTGGTGTGCCATCAGCTTTGCGGACCATGGCTATAGGAGGTAGGAGTGTTTGGTTGTGGAGGAGTGTTTGTGATGACGTAAGATGATGTGTAGCACCCGAATCTAAAATCCATAAGTTAGTCTTTGTAGCTGATTGAGTGTCATACGAAGTAGCAGCCGAGCCTGTGTTAGGTGAGGGAGCAGATGGATATAGCGTCTACAGGAGATCAGTGTAGAATGACGATGTAGATGTGGATGGAATCTCGGTGATGGTTGCCTGAGCTATTAGGGACAGTGAGTTGGGAAGGTTGTTTTAGCTAGCCTCGCGCAACACTTGTTCGTAGAATGTCTGCAGAGTTTGTGAATGTCACACCATTATTTACATGTGGAGATGGGGCAAATTTGTTATTGTCTAGTCGACGAGGTGTACTATCAATTAGGAGAAACATGGTGAGTAGCTAAGCGTGAGGTGGCATGGACGGAGCTCAAGGTGATGGGAGGAGTGGTGAGGTAAAGACGTGTCTCCTCAGCCTATAACTCTGTGACAACTGTTTCAAGAGTGGGTCTAGGTGACCAGTGAATGAGTTGGCTACGAACGGATTTGAACTCCGGTCGGAGTTTCATCAGGAACTAAAAGAGACTTTGCATATCTTTGTTGTCGTGGTGAATAATCCTGGAAGACGGGTCAGTAAGGGGTGTTTCAAGGGTTGCGAGTTGTTCCTAGAGATCAATGATGTGGCTATAGAACTCACGGATCAAGTGATCACCTTGTGTAACCGTGGAGATCTCCTAGTATAGTTGGAACTCTCGAACGGCATCTAACTATGTGTAACAGCGCTGCAGGCATTCCTAGAGGGATATGGCAGCGTCAAACCGTGTGAGCGAA